CAGTGTCTCACCACCCTCACAGCAAAAACTTCTGCTTAAGATCTAAGCTAAATTTCCTCTTTCAATTTCTCCCCATACCTCCTTGTCCTGTCCCTGCAGTTCCTAACACAGAGTTTCTCTGCAGCTTCCCTGGAGCCCTTTCAGCTCCTGGAAGGTGCTCTGAGGTCTCCACACAACCTTCTCTTCTCCAGGCTCAATAGCCCCAGCTCTCCCACAGGGAGATGCTCCAGTGCTCTGCTCAGCTTTGTGGCCTCCTCTGGCCTTGCTCCAACAGCCACCACCAAGACTGTGCTGAGTGAAAAGCTCTACAAGCACTTGCACAAACCTCTAAGAGAACATTACATTTATTTCTGGGAGGCAACTTTTCAACTCTTGACCTCAGAACAGGTGTCCAGGCTCTAATAGTCCAAAATCTACATCTCCTTATCTAACTGTCAAAACTTCTCTTCATCATCTCTATTCCAATAAACTTCCCAAGGTGAGGGAAATGTAGTTTCCAAGTGTGGCAGAAGGATCTGAAACAGATTTGTCACAAAACCACATGTATTAGTTTTTAGAATTCGTTTTAGGAAAGGTTTCTGATCTGATAACAATCAACTCTGTGCATTTATTTCATCAGCCTTGTTGGAAGGAAGCTGTTAAAGGACATAAAGGAAATGAGTAGTGCTGGGCATGAAAGATCAGATGGGTAAATTCTTATTGCTGATGTGATTAAATCCCACTCCACGGTTTTTAATGCCTCATGTTTCATGGGTCAGATAGCTACATAATTCATAACTTGATCATTCTCTGCCTAGTAAACTGATGGACTTTTAAATTACACCAGCTTTGTATCAGTGGAGAAAAATCACTGGAACATATTAGAGATAAGATTATCTTAGTAGCTTTTAAACTGGAAATATCTCCCAGTGTGAGGAATTACTGCACTGTTCGCTCTGGTTGTCTTGCAGTCAGTTCTGAGAGCCAAGAGCTGGGGTGAGCTGGAAAGCAGTACCAGAAATGCATCAGATGCTTCAAGCACCTTGTCCTGACTCCAGCAGAGTGTGGCAGCAGCACTAGGGCAGTGTCATCCCCCTGCACTGGGCACTGGGGAGGTCCCAGCTCAGTGCTGTGCTCAGCTTTGGGCACTCACTGCCCAAAGGCCATTGAGGCACTGAGCGAGTCCAGCCAAGGGCAACGAGGGCAGCAAAGGACTAGAGCACATGGGCAAGGGCTGAGGGAGTTGGGCTTGGTCAGCCTGGAGAAGAGGCTCAGGGGTGACCTCCTGGCTCTCTGCAACTCCTGCCAGGGCTGGAGAGAGGTGTGGGATGGTCTCTCCTGCCGTGGCTGCAGGGAGAGGACTAGAGGGAATTGCCTTGAGCTGGGACAGGGCAGAGTCAGATTGGATGTGAGGAGAAATGTTTTCCCTGGGAGGGTGTTCAGGCACTGAGATATTGCCCAGGGAGGTTGTGGAGTCAGCACCCCTGGAGATGTTTCAGAGGTGTCTGGATCTGGTGCTGAAGGATCTGGTTTAGGGCTTCCAGCAGTGACAGGTTATAGTGGGACCTGATGATCTTTGAGGTCTCCTCCAGCCTTGATGGTTCTATGATTCTCAGTCACACTTCAGGCAATAAAGTAATTTAGTGCCTGAGACAGCAATCTTAGCTTATTTGGAGTCCACTCTTACCTTGGTCTACCTGAAGTCTTTTATCCAAGTGCTCATCTCATTATCATTTCCTTATTGTCCCTTTATTCCTTGTTAACTGTGAGACCCTTAGATATATTTTCTTGCTCCCTATGATTTGTTCTGCTAAAAATGTTCTTAATAATATATGGGAACATAAAAAAAAAAGAAGTCTATGACTCCTGCAAGGATTATTATTACATCAAGGGATTCCTTTAGGCACTTATCATTCTTTATGGGTTCATCCTCACCCTTGCATACAAATCAACCAACTGCTCAGTATTCACAGCGAGGAGGGAGCTCAAAGAAAATAGACAAAGGAGCACTTGGGTTTATAATATCAGCTATAACACTTACTAAGCATCAGATAATGGTCTGGATGAGAACATCTCCATCAATCAGCATAGGTGGGACTTGCTGAGGAGGGACAGCAATGTGGCCCCAACCAGCATGGGCAAAATCGTAATCACAGGATGGTTTGGTTTGGAAGGACCTTAAAGGTCATACAATCCCCCCCCCTGCCATGGGCGGGGACACCTCCCACCAGCCCAGGTTGCTCCAAGCCCCATCCAACCTGGCCTGGAACACTCCCAGGGATGGAACAGCCACAGCTGCTCTGGGCAATCTGTGCCAGTGCCTCAGCACCCTTACAGGGAAGGATTCCTTCCCAGTATCCCATCTAACCCTAATCTCTGTTAGTTTGAAACCATCCCCCCTTGTCCTGGCACTCCACACCCTTATCCCAAGTCCCTCTGCAGCTGTCTTGGAGCCCTGTGGGCACTGGAAGGGTCTCTAAGGTCTCCCTGGAGCTTCCTTTCTCCAGGCTGAACATCCCCAACTATCTCATGCTGTCTCCATAGCACAGTTGCTCCTACAATCTAATCAGAGATACTTGAAGCAATTCCATGTTGGCTGATTTGAGGCATCTCAGACATTGCCCAAGGTGGGGATGGTTGCACAGCTCATGTGGGAGCACCCAAAGTGCATCTCTGCAGAAGGACCCTTCAAATTCCTTCCTTCTGTCCCAGTGCACTCCAGCAAGGGCAGCCAATGTCTGTACCACATGGTAAAATGAGACTCTGGCAGATGATATATGACAACAGGGTTTAAACACTCATTTTGCATCAGTTACCTGCTGGACTTGCCACATCACTTTGCTCCCTGGGTCAAACAGCCAATTAATTAACTTAGTCTCTCTGTAATTTGGTTCGCATTAGTGGGAGTTAGGTTGATTCTCTCTGCTCTTGCAGAATTGGGAGGGTTATTCAGGACTGCACTGTTATTTTTAATTGGAAATAACAAATCAAGCAAGTTGCTGCTTGTCGGGAATCTCAGCTCCATGCTGGAAACAGCAGTGGAAGTGAGAAGGAACCTCTAGTTGCTCAGGATCTGAAAGCATTTACACACTCCTGGGTAGCTGAGAGCTTATTTACATCCCTTTTCTCCTGCTCCTGTCCTAATTAGATCCCTTAATCCTTCCAACTCAAGTGCTCCTCACTGGATCTCTTGTCCTGTCCATGTCCATTGAATTTCAAAGGAAAACAGTTGCACAGGAAGAAATCTCAAACATTGTCACAAGGAGCATTGATGACAATCATATTTTGGTTGACTTTTTAGTAGTTGTTCATTTAATAGTATTTTCTTAATGAAATGAAAAAAAAAATCATATCTTACTTCGCTTCTTTAGAGCAGAAAAAAATGCATTTTCTCATCTCCTCCAACTGAGTTTTACTCCATCCTGACCATGCCTAGTGCAGTGCAGTTTCTGTCTGTAAGAGAACAGGGACAAATGGTTTGAAACTTGATTTTCTTTTCCTGGGCAACAAGAAAAAAAAAGCAGCAGCAAACAAATGGGAGCAATTTCATGTCGAAGCAGAAGGAACAGATTGCTTCTGTGTTGCAGATGTGCCTTTTACATAAGGTTTCTGCTTCCCCTGAGGTACCTGTGAGTCAAGGATTCTGCCCAAAATAGGTTGGGATGTGAAACAGCAGCCTCTGGTTTGTCAGGGAGCAAAGGATTAGGTGTGTCCACAGTTCACCACTGAGATACAGCCATGAGCTCAGCAAAGCAGGGTTTAACTAAATGGAAAATCAAGGGAAACTCGATTTTTATTGCAAAGTTTCAGAGGAGAAGAAAAGCAAAAATGGAGTTTATAGGCCTCATATTGATATTCTGAGTGTGGTATTAAAGGCAGAGAGGAAATGTACTTGAATTTCTTCCTGTCCTGGAATAAAAGGGAGGATGTATCAGCCCTGGGAGTGGATTTGGAGTTGCACCAGTTCCACAGTGGCATGTTTTGTGGTGCTAATTTCCCAGCAATGTGGCCCCAACCAGCATTCCACATCCTACTTAATAGATTCATTGGGAGCTTATTATATAAATGAACATGTGCTAAATTTATCAGACTTTCTAATGGAAATTGTAAATTCAATTATAATAATTATCTACCTATCTCTGTTATTTCTTTCTGCCTAATTTGCTTGCAGGATCTGAGCTCTGGTAGGTTCTGAGCTCGTTATTTATAGCATATATATTTAGCTGGTTCTGGTTGTCTCTGCATTGTGTCAGTCGTGCAGGTTTGCAGGGCTGACTTGGTGTTTTCTGATCAATATGAAGGGCTCGTTTGTTTGAGCAATGCCTTTGATCTAATTGAATTGAGAATTATTGCCAATGTGCTGTTACTTAAATTCAGAGTGGATTGTCACAAATGATGCTATCAGCAGGGGGAGGCTTTTTTTTCCGGATGATGAATATGAAGTTAAAGACATCATCAGAGAGCAAAGCGTGGAGGCAAGTTGGATGTTTTGTGATGTATTTTAGAGGGGCACCTGGGTTAGTGAGCTGTGAAATCAGTGTCATCTCCAGGAGGAGCTGGTGCATGTTCATGGAATCTTCAGAGAATCATCGAGTTTTAGGGGTTGGAATGGAGCTTAGAGGTGATCCAGCCCCAACCCCCTGCCCTGGGCAGGGACACCTCCCACCAGAGCAGGTTGCTCTTCTCTTTGGCACAGCATCTTTGGAGATCTTTTAAGAGGATCAATCTTTCTTAGGCACTTCCATGTGGTTTCTCAGTTGTTTATATACCAGCGTCTTCCTTGTATTGAGCAGTCATCCCCCACTTTGTGCCTGCAGTGGAGCACTAAGGCGTTGCAGATGTTCTCACAGAGGTGACCAAGGAATCCTGGCAGAGTTGGTGCTTGTGAGGCTGTAAGAGATGGTGCATGGAGCAGTTTGTGCTGGGTGGGTGAGGCAGGACAGAGAGACCAGACACAAACAAGTGGCAATGGACAAGCGTCATTAGGCTTGGAGGAAAACAAGAGGCAGTGGCTGGAGAATCTTGGGGAAAAACAAGCCCAAGGCAGCATTTTTGAGCTGTGACACCACAGCACAGCCTCAGTGCACTGAGGGGAAACCTGCACAGGCAAAATGCTGGACAATCTGACTGGGAGCAAACTGCAGAGCTCTCAGCTCCTTCTCAGACAGATTTTGTCATATCTGGGATTGAACATGAGGGAAAAAAAGTCTTCATTTCCATAATGACTTATTTAATTTGTCCAATTAGCTGGTGAATCTAACTGGGGGTGCTTTTCTGTATGGATTGTGTGGTACATGAAGTGATTTCAGATATGGATGTTTGAACCATCTGCATTTCTGTTTTGAGTGTTTTAATTACAACTCTGGGTGTAACAGCTAACTGCAACTTACTAATCTCTTTAAATGACTTGAAATTATTTCCTTTTTATATATTTATATAATTATTCCTGTTCTAAATGCACAAAATACAAAACATAATGGAAAAGCAATGAAGCTGTTGCTTGGTTTTTAAGCTCTGAGTGCCTAGAGGCTGAGGGCAATCGATGCAGACCAAGAGATCAATATCCTATCATGATATAAAGTGGGGAATTATAAACTTCTCCAGTGCTTTCAAAAGATTTTTTTTCTCTGAAATATTGAGCTAATTAATCCTGAACCCCTTGGGATATTTTTTTTTTTGCATTGTCAAAAGTCAAAGTTCTATTTAAAACTGATGGCCAAGAGCACTTGGTATTCACAGCAGGGAATTCTGGGAGAGGCTTCCAGAGAATCACCAAGACTGGAGGAGACCCCTAAGATCATCAGGCCCAACCATTTAGCGGTCACTGGTTTAACCCCTCAACCCTAAACCCACCAGATCCAGACGACTCTTAAACACCTCCAGGGATGGTGACACACATCCCACACCTCTCTCCAGCCCTGGCAGGAGTTGCAGAGAGCCAGGAGGTCACCCCTGAGCCTCTTCTCCAGGCTGACCAAGCCCAACTCCCTCAGCCCTTGCCCATGTGCTCTAGCCCTTTGCTGCCCTCGTTGCCCTTGGCTGGACTCGCTCAGTGCCTCAATGGCCTTTGGGCAGTGAGTGCCCAAAGCTGAGCACAGCACTGAGCTGGGACCTCCCCAGTGCCCAGTGCAGGGGGATGACACTGCCCTAGTGCTGCTGCCACACTCTGCTGGAGCCAGGACAAGGTGCCCTTGGCCTCCTTGGCCCCCTGTGCACACTGTTGGCTCCCACTGAGCTGTGCCACCAGCACTGCCAAGGCCCTTTGGGACCAACACCTCTGTCCCCACTGCTCCCCCAAGGTTATCCTGAAGGCTAACCAGCCCCAGCTCCCTCAGCTGTCATAGTCAGAAGACTGCAGACCTCCCTGCTGCCCCTCCCAGTTATGTGTGGAGCAGAAAATGTTTCAAACCTGCATTCCTTGCTTACATGATCTCTCCAAATTGTTTTTTTCCAGCACCTGCCACCTCCTCTCCCCAGCAAGACTCCTCCGCCTCCACCTCCAAAGACAACTCGGAAGCAAACATCTGTTGATTCTGGGATTGTCCAGTGAAGAAGGAAGGAGTGGTTTTTTCCAAAGATAAAGCTGTAACAATTCATTTCCCTAAGTATTTTATGGTCTGTAATGTTTACCTCATTCAGGTGTGCAGTATCTAACACTTAGTGCAATGACTCTAACTCCCTAAGGAATCTGTTCCTAGCCATGTGCCAGAACCAACACTACATCCCATCTTGGTGGGATTTTTCCCTCCCAGAACTTGAAGGAAACGTGGATTTCTACTTGAGACTGGGAGGTGTCCATCAACTGACAGTTCCCTGTTCCTAAACCTCCTCCTGCTTCTGAATAACACCAGGCACAGAACTAGCTGTGGAGCTTAAACTGAGTGGGATATTTTGTACCTAAAAGTGTTTAGGTAGCTCTGGAATCTCAAATGAGCTGAGTATTTTGTACCTAATCTCAGTGTATATAGGAATCAATGCCAATATTCACACGGAATTCAGGGCACGTTGGAGGAGGCTCCACAGGAAGGATTTCCCCACATAACAGGGATTTTAGCCCAGGGATAAACATCACACACAACTTCTCTGTGAAATGTGCCTTCTCTTTAATTGGGCTCTGTTCTAATTAACCTGATTGCTAATGGGCTGTGGCCAATTAGTCATTAGTGATCAGCCATTGCCACTTTCATTCAGTTGGATCTTCTGGGTCTTCATCAAGGAGTGAAGCCTTGGAGCTGCTGATGGGCCTGAGAGCATAGGAAAACAAGGAGTAAACAGATAGGAAACTCCTGGTCATTCTTAACCTTAAAAGTTGAGTACAGGAATGGGAAGAGCTTTTTTTTTTCTTTTGCCTGTCTTTTAATGTGTATTATTTCATGTTGGATTAGGATGAACTGAATGGAATCACTTTGTCCTTGTGCCATCATTCTGTACAGTGTTTGTATATATGATGGTTTTTAGAGTGTTTGAATTTTTATGGTGCCTGCTTTGTCCTGTAATAATGAATTCATGTGCCTGCAAAGATACCTTAGGGATTTTTAATTTCCTAATTGCTGAAAGTGTAAAAAAAAAAAAAGCAATTTTTTTGTTTTCTTGCAGATATTAAGCTCTGTGAAATATTGGACAATGATGTGGGTTGGGGAGGGAGGAAGGAAACTAACTTTATACTCTAGTGTTTTTTATTGTCATCACACTTTTGTTTTTTTACTATCTACAATCTTTTTACTCTTATGGTAGATTGTTTTTAAATATATCACTGACTCCAAAAATAAACTGTTATTTTAAAGACTTGTCTAAGAAATGAGTGTATTTCCTGGGCGGTTTGGAGCCTCCCTGCAGAGTCTGGGGGATGTTTTTTGCACTCTGGGAAGGGCTACATAGACACTGCTCTTTCTGAATGATTTTGAGGGAGCTCCTCAGGAAGCTGAAATGTTTGCTTGTGTCGGTTTGCTTCTCCTGCAGGTGTGAGCTAAGATACGTGTGAGCACTAGAAATAGCCTTCTCTGTGTGCTGTTCAGTCCATGGCCACAGTCACAGAATCATTAAGGTAGGGTAAGACTTCTGAGATCATTGAGCACAACCTGTGACCTAACACCACCAAGTCAACCAGACCATGGCACTGAGTGTCATGTCCAGTCTGTTCTTAAACACCTCCAGGGATGGTGACTCCACCACCTCCCTGGGCAGCACATTCCAGTGTCTGATCACCCTTTCTGGGAAGAAATTCTTCCTATTGTCTAACCTAAACCTCCCCCGGAGCATCTTAAGGCTATTTCCTCTTGTCCTGCCACTGGGAAAAGACTCTGATCCCCACCTAGCTACATCATCCTGTCAGGTAGTTGTAGGGAGTGATAAGGTCCCCCCTGAGCCTCCTCTTCTCCAGGCTAAACAACCTCAACTCCCTCAGCTGCTCCTCATAGGACTTCTTCTCCTCATAGGACTTACTCTTCAGAGCCTTCCCCAGCTCTGTTCCCGTCCCTGGACAGGGACTGGTCAGGCACTGGAATAGGGAATTGCCAAGGGAGGTGGTGGAGTCACCATCCCTGGAAGTGTTTAAGAGGTGCCTGGATCTGGCACTGGAGGATCTGGGTCAAGAATTGAGTTTGGTCAATGGCTGAGTTTGTGCCAGAAGATGAGTTTGGGTCAGAGGTTGATTTTGGGTCAATAGTTGAGTTTGGGTCAATGGTTGATTTTGGGTCAAATGTTGATCCGAAAACTGGACCCAGTGCTCGAGGTATGACCTCCCCAGTGCCAGGAAGAGGGGGATGGTCACTGACCTGGTCCTTGTGGCCAGGCAGGACTTACTTATCTGTTGCTAAACACTTGAGAAAACAGATGACTTTTAGGTAGTATTTTCTAGCTCGGGTACCTGCTACATGATGCAAGTTGCCAGCAGAAGTGACTTTCCAGAGCAGTAAAACAACACTATGGTTACAAAGGCAGAAAGATTGTTCTTCTTGTTAAAAAAAAAAAAAAAAAGTGGTTTGAATGGTCAATTATATATTCTCAGCATTTTGCCTTAAACCGTCGTGTCACTTTGGATCAAACAAACACACTTCCTTGCAATGTGAGCTAACATCAGCTACCAGGGCAGCTCAGGATTTACTGCTAGATATCAGCCTATGATTCCCTCTTTGTTTTGTGCATGTGATCTCAGCTCAAGGGAACAGGCAGGGAAGGATTCGGAGCTGCGCGCGATCAGATGCTCTTTCTGCAGCCAATCAATAATGTATTACAACTTTTAATTCCATAAGTCTTCTGTTTAATTGAGAATTGCTTTAGAGCCTGCTCTTGTTGCTGCCTGGGAGATCTCCCTGGGATGCTGCTGAGTTTACCTCCTTCCTGTTCCATCTGCTTTCTGAAGGATAGGGAGAGGCTTTTCCCATCAACCTTTCTCTGGCTGCCTGTAAATTGTGTTTCTGCTAATGTGTTTGTTTTCACACGTCCTTAGCAAATTCCTGTGCTCATGCAAGTGTTGTAATTTGGCCCTGAGAGACTCCTCAGACAAGAGCTGCTCTTTCAGTTGGGTCTGGCAATGCAAACTGTAAATCTTAGCCGTGTGTGTGTTTTACAAATGCACAAGGTGAGCTTGGGGATTGAAAATCAGAGCCTGAGATTCACTCTTCAGAGGCAAATTGTCACCGTTTTTACACTTCATATCTTCTAGGCTGTGACTATGGGAGAACCCAGAGAGAAGGAATCATTGCCCTCCTCGAGGTGTGCTGGAAACACACTTCAGCTAATCCAGGAGCTGATTGAGTGGCAGTGAACAGGGCTGAAGGCTGTTCTCCTCATGGTTTGCTCTCTTCCTTTGCATTCTAGTGGTGTCATGTCAGAGCATCCCAGTGCTCTGATCCCCAGTTAGACTGCATTCAGATCATTATTTCTGCTACAGAAGGATCACAGAATCATTTCAGCTGGAAAAGACCTCCAAAGTCACCAAGTCCAACCTGTGACCATCACCACCTGGTCAGCTAGACCGTGGCACTAAGTGCCACATCCACTGTTACCAGCGCTGAGCAGTGCCTGGTTCCCTGTCCCAGTGTTCTTTGGATGACACCTCACATCACCTTCAGAGCTTGGAGCCTCTAATTGTCCTTGTTGTAGCCAAGAGCAAACGTTGTTCAAGCTTTGTGAACAGTGTGTTCAAAAACCACGTGAATGTGGCACTTGAGGTCATGGTTTAGTGAAGTGCCACATCCACTGTTACCAGCGCTGAGCAGTGCCTGGTTCCCTGTCCCAGTGTTCTTTGGATGACACCTCACATCACCTTCAGAGCTTGGAGCCTCTAATTGTCCTTGTTGTAGCCAAGAGCAAACGTTGTTCAAGCTTTGTGAACAGTGTGTTCAAAAACCACGTGAATGTGGCACTTGAGGTCATGGTTTAGTGGTGTGGTGAGTTGATGGTTGGACTTGATCATAGAAGTTTTTTCCAACCTAAATGATGGTGGATCAGGGGACATAGTCTTAAACTGCATCAGAGGAAATTTAGGTTTAGGAAACATTAGGAAGAATTTCTTCCCAGAAAGGGTGATTAGACCCTGGAATGTGCTGCCCACGTAGGGGGTGGAGTCACCATCCCTGGAGGGGTTTAAGGAGAGATTTAGTGCCATGGTCTAGTTAACATGGTAGTGTTAGGTCACAGGTTGGACTTGGTGATCTCAGAGGTCTTTTCCAAACTGGTTGATCCTGTCGTTCTGTGGTTGTTGGTCTCACACATTTCCAGACCAGCAGCTCTGGTTGCTTAACAGATGCCGGAAAAGATGCTGGTTCTGCTGTTCCTGGAAGCTGTGGCTCTCTGCCAGTGAGCATGAAAGGGAGTGCATGGCCATCAACATTTCAGTCCTTCACGAACAGAAAGCACAGACAAAACCAAAAGTGACACTGTTTTCCTATAGATAAGGCATTTTTGGTGTGTTGTTCTGTTCTTGGCTGCACTTCCATGTTTCATTTTATTCTCCTGTGGCTGTGCTTATGTTTTCTCAGTGCTGTATCACAGAATCACAGCATCAGTTAGGCTGGAAGGGACCACAGTGGGTCATCTAGTCCAACCTCCCTGCTCAGGCAGGGCCAGCCCAGAGTACATGGCTCAGAATTATGTCCAGAGGGTTCTGGAGTATCTCCAGTGAGGAGAATCCACAACCTCTCTGGGCAATCTGTTCAGTGCTCAGGAAAGAAGTTCTTTCTCCTGTTCGGATGGAACTTCCTGTGCATCAGTTTCTGCCCATTGTCTCTTGTGTTATTGGTTTCCACCACTGAGCAGAGTCTGATCCTCCTCTTGGCACCTCCTGCTCATGCACCTGAATCCATTAATGAGGTCCTTCTAAGTTGTCTCTTCTCAAGACTGAACAGGCCCAACTCCCTCAGCCTTTGCTCATCACTGAGCTGCTCCAGTGGCTTCAGCATCTTTGTCACCCTCCCCTGGAGCTGCTCGAGGAGCTCCATGTCCCTCTGGTCCTGAGGAGCCCAGAACTGGCCTGTGCTCCTCACTCCTGGCTATAATCCCAATGTAAAATGAGTTTTGTTTCTCCATCATTCCCACAAGCAGTGATGGATCACTGCAAGCCACAGTAGAGAACTGAGAAAATGAGCTCCAAAACCACTCTGGACTGAAGAAAAAAAAAACAAAACCCACTTAGCAGAATATTAAGCAACCAGTGGGGATGAAAAGGGACCCAGGAACCATCTCAGAGCAGTGTGACACTGGGTTGAATCACAAGCCACTAATGTAGACGTGTAACAGTGTGAGAGGTAAAACAATCCCACCAGCTCCAGCCTAGGCAAAACATGTCTTAGCTGAGTATGAATTATGCAGTTCAAACCACTTATTAACATTCAATTTAACATCATGAACATTGGTTTGGGAAGTGTGTTCTTGGAACGAGAGGAGAAGCTTTGCAGAGGGCAAGGAGTTCATTTAAGCTGTAATTATTGTTTCTGTGCAGATGAGATGTGTTTTCCCGAGTTTTCATTGCATGTCAAAATCTCATGGAGGGAAAAATATCCACATAAATCAACCAGAAATTCCAAAATTTCAAGAGAAAAATTTCCTTTAAGAGATGAGGCGGTTCCCTGTGACCTATTGGTGTTACAGGAGGCCTGTCCTGGGGTATTTTTGGTGTCATGTTGAGATTTGGTTGTCAATAATATCTCAGTGTATTGGGTATAAACTTCATTCCATGAGTTTATTACTGTGTGCAGTTGGCAAAATATTTGTTGCTGCTTTTGTTTTCCAGGCAGCACATTATTGTTAACTTGCTCCTCAGAGGGAAATAAGAGAGGGAAAAAATTGCAAACACAAGATTTTTTTTCACCACTTTGTGTCTTTCCTGACCTTGTTGTACTCTGTATGGAGAGGGAGAGAAGTCTGTGGGAGGTCACACCTTGCTTTTGTGCTGGATCATCCTTCTATATGATGTGTGTTGGGTCTGAGCAGGAACTGGGGAACATGAAGACATGTCCAACCACAGTAACTCTTGGGAAGGGACAGGACACCTCTGAACCTGGAAAATGTGAAGTTCTGTTTGGTTTGATGGCAAACAGTAGTGTTGGTTTGTTTGATGGGGCTGGAGAACCTCTGCCATGGAGCCAGGCTGGGAGAGCTGGGGGTATTCAGCTTGGAGAAGAGAAGCCTCCAGGGAGAACTTAGAGCCTCTTGCAGTGCCTAAAGGGGCTCCAAGAGAGCTGCAGAGGGACTTTGGAGAAGGACATGGAGGGACAGGACGAAGGGAATGGTGTTAAGCCATAGATTGGATATTGGGAAGGAATTGTTCCCTGTCAGGTGCTGAGGCTCTGGCACAGGTTGCCCAGAGCAGCTGTGGCTGCTCCATCCCTGGGAGTGTTCCAGGCCAGGTTAGATGAGGCTTGAAGCACCTTGGGCCAGTGGAAGGTGTCCGTGCCCATGGCAGGAGGAACTAGGTGGTCTTTAATGTCCCTTCCAACCCAAACCATTCTGTGATTCCATGACTATGATTTTCTCTCCCATGTCTCAGTGCCTAGAAGGCTCTCCCAGAGCAGCTGCAGGACAAGTGCCAACCCTGTGTGAGTGGGGCCAGGCTGATCCCAGGGTGGGCACCTCTCCCTGGCACATCACAGGCCAGAGGGAGATGCTCCTTGCCAGGCCCAGAGCTGTGCTAAGCTCCAGCAGTTACCTAACCCCGAGTTCCGCAAGTTCAGCA